GAGTGATCTCCTTCTCAATAATACCTCCATGTTTATATCAACCCATTGTTTGTGGGGTTTACCAATACCTGGATTGAATTCCTGGAAAATTGTGATTCCGCATCAGTGAAATTGGACACAAATAAATTATTTTAGTATTAATAAATGCATGATTTATGTTGATTTATTGATTATGTTGTTGATATTTTTAACATTTAAATGGAAAAAAAATAAAAAGTGTTATTGATGGCTTTTTTTATCTTTTTTATTTTATCATTTAATATGTAATTCCTGCAAAAAGAGAAATGTAAATGGCAATTTATTTGATGTTTGATTTGATTCCTTTTAAAAACTAAATTATTTCAGTTTAAAAAAATGCATATAATGATTTTTAAAAAAATCAGTTTTAATGCAGAATTTTATTATTGGGGCCATTTTTACCTACCTTTCATTTGGGGCCATTTTTACCGGCACCATTTTTTCCGGGGCCATTTTTTCCTGGGTCATGTTCACCGGGGCCATTCATGCCGTACACCTTACTTTATCTACATTGTCTTTCTGCAAACATGGTTTAAATGGGTACCTATTAAGTTATAGCAATATTATGTTAAACTTATATAGCGCTTAATGCCAACAAGACCAAACGCTTCACGTTATTACCCCGGTCATTGGTTCAAGCACATATGGAACACATACTCAGCTCCCTGGGGAGCTGTACTCAGTGCATTTTTGTGTTTGAACCTACCAGGTACCCACTTGCACTCCTGGGTGGAGAGAGACAACAACCGTAGGTAAATAATTTGCTTAAGGACACAAGTGATATGCACAGCGAGGGATTGAACCTCCGATCACAAGGAAGCAGAACAACTACCGCACCAAACTGCTCCTAATGCAGCAATATTACGGAACGTTCCTCAGGGACCTGAGTATGTGTTCCATAGATGTTTGATCCAGTTACTGGGGCAATGAAATATACAGAGGCCTGGCACTACAAATGCTATAGAATCTAAGGCTGCTTAGGTGTTAATAGTGAGTGAAGCAAAAAAGAACTTACAAGCTCGACACGACCGAAGCCACCCATACCCAAGGTAGCAATGCCTTCCAGATCACTCATCAGAATATGGGCATACTCATTTTTATCTTGTAGACTTTCACAGCTGGAGGCAGCACTAGCATGGCTAAAAAAAAATCATGTTAAGAGTTTCAAACTCATCAGGATAAAAGCAATATTTAATAAATTAATGCTGACATAGGGTATGACGTTATTGTAGATAATCAAAAACACTGCTCAGAGCAGTAGCTCTCTTCTCCCTGACTTACAGCTAATTTATTATTTCTGAATAATAATAATAAGAGAAGCCTACCTTTATTGGATATAGAACAAATTAAATTAACAAGCTTCATGTGATTTTTAATAAATAAACACTAGATTTAGATAGACTTAGATTAAAAACCAGACTAATCAAGCCTACAACAAACACTCATCCATATATTTTCTTAAACTTGTTTAAATATACATTGCTACAATATTAAATAACATCTCATTATTTTCAGCTATATCTCATCCTTAATAGTAGAATTATGTATTTAGATTTTAGCTGGTGGCCATGTTTGGTTTCCATACATTTGTGTGTAAAAAATAATAAAATTAACAAACATATATGTTTTGCTACTTTGGACACATCACCATGATGTCATGGTAACAGATGTGCAATGTTTTCAATGAAAATAAAATAAAATGGCAAATCTCATGTTCTGTTTATCTTGCCTAAAGAGCATGCAGGATTGTTAAGGTTAAAGTAATCCATTAAAATAAATATAAACCAAGGTAATCTTTTAGTAATCAAGTCAAAACTTAATTTCAGAATCAATATTATATTGAATAACAGTATAAGTAACAAAATCAAATATTATAAAATAATTTAATTTAAATTAAATCATACACAATCCCACAAAAATATATCCACCGTATGATAAAAATGTTCCATTAGAAAATCCCAATAAACAATTACATAAATTTTTATATTATTTTTTATATTATTTTTTATATTGTATATTTTTTAAACAACTTACAGGGCTTTAAGCCAAACACTCCCTACGTTGTACGACGGTCGTACGATAAATCCACATTTGCTTCCGGCGAGCTGCTGATTGTCAGTGGCAATCTGAACAGATCCTCATTAAAAAAACGATCCGTTGGGTCCGCGTCTTCGCATGCGTTCTTTGTCACGTCGCCGTCGCGTCGCACTTAGTGAGTAACTGGCTTTACATGTGTAATAACATGTTTAAAGCTCTATCCACACTATCATGTTTTATGCAAACAAATTTGAATGAGCTGCCCATATATTGGCATATGATGATGTCATACCACATCCATATATGGGCATGATGCCATGGACATCCGGGAGGTGATGTCATCTGTTCAAATCACAGGTAATGTGCAATAAAAATAAAACATAATAGTATGAACAGAATTGTGATACACCATTTAATATTTGCCTGTCAGATTGTTGATCAAAATTTAGATGCTGATGTAGAATGTGTATAAATAGATGGTGTATATATATGGTTAACTTTTATGGAGCAATAATGTTCAGATCCAGACTGAATTTATTGATGCCGTATACTATAAATGTGTTTGCATAAATGACACATACCGTGAAATTTATGGACGAATGAAATTTAGATTTTGACGTAAAATGTGTTTCAATGAAAGTTATTTTTATGAACAATACAATCCAGATGTTAATGTACAGTGTTTGAACAAATGGTGCATGAACGGTAACACTTATACACCATTGAAATCTATATTTTGATGAGTTTTTGAATAAACAATGCATAAAATGACTAAATTTATTGACCAATGAAATTTAGACGTTGATGAGTAATTGAATAAACGGTGCATAATATGGTTAAATTTATAGACTAATGAAATGTAGACGTTGATGAGTAATTGTATAAATGGTGCATAATATGGTTAAATTTAAAGACAGATGAAAAGTGTGATTGTATAAGAGTGTAATGTATAGATGAAATCTTATTGAAGTAAAGTATGTTTAGATAAATGACACAAATTGAATGATGAAATTTATTGATAAATGAAAAGTAGATGACAAATGTGAATGTAATAATTTGTAGAGACCCAAGACTAAAAGCACATCCAAATAAACTCCACTATAACATAACTACATTAACAGATAACAACAAAAAAAATCCAAAACAAAAGAAGTTGTTATGTCAATAAAATATCCAAACTTAGAATAAAACTAGGCATAGATAGTGGATGATTGGTTAGTTAGTTAAAGAAACAGCAAATGTGAGAGGGTGGACCATGTATGGCCCACCCACTTACTCAGCTGGCTTCATGATTGGCAGTCTATTGAATGTGGAGGGGGTTGGCACAGGGTCTACTTGCACTGTGCCAATCTGCTTCTTCTCCAACGAAAGCCTAATTAAGAGTCCAACATTGGATACATTTACTTTCATTATAAAATACCTGAATGTATTTAGATTTTTCTTTATATTTGTTTTAAAATCATATATATATATATATATATATATATATAGTGTATATGTGTATATAAATATTAGATTAGATTAGATTAGATACTTACTTCAGAACTGTTCTTAATTTATTTTATATAATGATGATGGTTGAGGAAATATATATGAATACAACACACAATCTACATGAGCACAAAAGTAAGTAAACTTATATTTTAGCAATACAGAAAAAAAAATAAAGTACTTGAAAATGTAACAACTTTTCTGTGTCAAAACACATACATTTACATTTTGAGATCCATTAAATAAATTCACTGCCTGAAGCTGCAAAAAGCTTGCATACAAATTAAACTAGTCAAAAGGAAAATAAAGGAGTAAGCTGACATACCTAGAAGCCCCTCGTTCTTCATCCCCGTAGTCCTTGTTCTGTATTTCCTGTATCTGTCCTAGAAGCTCGTTGAAAACCCTATCAATAAGTATAATCATTATTAATCATACAATATATCAGCCTCAAAACCATTATCAGACATTGTGGTGCTTTTCAGAACGTTCTGTTTTCTTAATGACAGCTACAGTACTTTACACTCTCACATAAAATTAATACTGTGGAACAGATACATGAAGAAATAATAGTCTTGTTTTTTATGGTAAGTCATCTTATATATAATTTTAATGAATATGTTTAAGCTATGCTCCAGAGGAAAACATTTTGTTGATACAAATGAATTTCTATTTTTTAAGAGACTGAAGTGGTGTTTGACGAAAATACTTAATAAGATTCTGGTTTTTGAACTTTATTTAAAAACTGTGGAAAAATGGCACATAAACACTCTTTTCCCTTACTTTTTCAATAATAAAAAATCTGTATCTTATTACCCGTTCGCAAGTTTGTTATTGAACACCCCTTTAGTGTGTCTTCAAACTGTCTTTAACATAATGGTAATAGATGACTTTTAATGGATCTGCATTAATGATTTCCATAAATCTTGAACTTTTTAGATTACAATATTATATTACTACATTATTAATAACACATTATTTTATGTACATTTATATAACTATTTTATTAATTTTAATTTTTGAGCTTAGGGTCTACATTTATATTATTGTACAGTGTTAATCAGGTCAATCACTAGATACTTTCTTAAGGAATAATACATAGCAGAGTAATACATAGATCCAAATTTTAATTTGATCCAAGAAATGTTTGAGGCATATTTTGGATTTTATGCAAGCCATCGACTGATCGATCAAATCAAATCAATCAATGAATCAATCAATAATTTATGTGCATCAAAAACATCATCAACAGATCCAGGACTGACAGCGCAAAATACTGTATTCAAACAAGATTCTGTAGGATGGGACTCTTTATAGATGGAAGTTAAAGATGCACTAATATTTAAAAAGTTGGAACATGTTCCGAAAGGAAGTTAAAAATTATCTTTTTAGATAATTAATCTATAGAGGCCATGCTATTCAATTGAATTCAATAGAAATTGCGACTGATATAACTATTTATGACCCTTATCATGTTAGTCACTGACGTGTATATAAAATTTTGAATTTTTTCTAATATTGCCAATTAATTTACGATATTTACTTTCGTATTTGCTATCGTATTTGGCAATCTTTAAATAATGTGTGTGCTATTGTCTATTAATTTCAATCTTTTTGTAAGTATAAATTGTAGGTGGAGGTTCACATCATTGCTGATGATAATGACATTTTGTTGCGGTTGAATCTTCCTAGGAACTCACTCTTTATTTCTTTAGTAAATTGTATTTTTGTTTTGTTTTGTTATTGTGTTCCTGAATAAATAATAAATAAATAAATAAACTGTATACAAAAAAAATGAATATACTAACATTCTGTCTATGACTAGGCATTCACATCCACCTACATCTGCAATAACATTGGCTGTCCGAACATCTTCACTAAAACATAAAATAATATGTAATTACTGAGTGTTTCAACGTCCACACGAACAAATAAATCAAGTATATGTAATGAACATATGTTATATTTAAACGTCCTCACTAAAATATAAAACAGGCATATGTCATTATTTCAGTCATCTACTTTGGCTTTTTAAAAATTTTATTATAAGAATACAAAAGAAGAAAGTCATTCTATCCCTCAAGGGCCTGGCAGGAGTATGAGAAAACAATTATGTGTAATTAATGTGTATTATTTATTCATCTATTCTAAAATATAAAACAATCATACATAATTGATATGTCCCAATATCCTCACTAAAAATTAAACAATTTTACATAATTAATGTGTGAATTATAACATCATCACAATTATTTGAAATTAATATGTGTTCTGTAGTCATCTAACCCAAAATACATACACAAGGATATACTGTACATGATTCTCTATATTCAAACATCCTCACTAAAAACATAAAACAATTACATGTGATTTATGTATGCTTTGCAACATCATTGCTGGCATTATGAACATTTTAATAGGAAACTTCAAGATGAAAATAAAGTATTATAATGATACCTCAGTAATGCTTTTTCCCCAAAGTAGTCGCCCGTGGTTAGTGATCGGACCTCTTGTGGTTCGGTGAAACCCGACACAAACTGGCTAACGCGAACCTGAAAATGTATTATGAATATTAACACCGCAGACAAATTTTACGGAACTTACGTAAAGCTATCAATTACATAAAACCTTTAGACTCAATGATGTATAGATTATATTCATGAAAAATAATTCAGCACAAGATTCTATTACTTTAAAAATATATCTTATAGTGTACATTTCTATATTCAAATATCGAGGACGACTATAAATAATCATATGACTTATGCAATGTATTTTGTACTGTATTTTAACAGGTTTGTATTTACATAAGTGAAAATTACATAAATATTATTTACTATAAAAACAACACACACACACACACACACCCACACACACACACACGCACACACACACACACACACACACACACATACATACATACATACATACATACATACATACATACATATATATATATATATATACATATATATATATATATATATACCAAGTTGCAAAAAAAGAAAACCATAACATTTATACCTTCAATGCAAGCTTTAACCAATAGTACATTCACCATTTACAAAACTTTTTTTTGTTTAGATTTTTCATTTTATATTTAACTATTCAATTTAGTTTTATTGTTTGCAGTGACAGGCCCAGGAAGGGCCTTTGTCTAACAAATTCAACTTGTATCTTTTTTACACTGTACATAAAAGAATATGGTACCTTTTAGTGTATGATACAAAATATTCATGTAAATGTACCTCTTCGTAATTGATGTTAACATACTGGTGGGTATTGCTTACCTTTCCATTGGATATTATGTAGAATGTGTCTCCCTTTGTGCCCTCTCGTATAATGTATTCTTTTTCCGGGAAGAAATCAACATCAAGGGAGTCAGCTAACTTCATCAGATATTCCGAGGAGAGATTCTTAAGTAATGGGATACTGAAAGACAAAAAATTGAAAAAAGTATTGAAACTTCATATATTTATTTACAGTATTTTTATCCAACAGCGAGTGTTTTGCAACTTACAGTGGAAGTTATGCTTTATATAAACCAGAGTAAACCATGAGTAAACTAAGTCTAGTTATGCGGCTTTGAGAGTGGAGTTGTTTTTAGCTTTGAAATTCACAGGATTTAAACTGCGGATTATGGGATTAGGAAGCATCTTAACACCAAGCCGTAGGTTCACTCTGTGATGATATTCATGAACACATTAAATCAACGTTGTCCGTAGAATTTAATTAATGTCGCGTCTGAGATTACTTATCTCCAATCATCTTGTTTATATCTATACTTGCCTATAAATTATTCAGGACATGTATAGATAGATTATTTTTCATCATCATCATTACCACTACAGGCCACTTACAAGATTGAATAAATTAATAATTATATGATGTAATACTATATATGTCAAGTCTGATCCCATCCCATATCTGTCTGTTGACTGAACAAAAAATTTTATAGATGTAATTATGTTTACTAATTATGTTTTCCCCTATAGTTTTAAAGAATCTATAATTGCATGCTACATTTACTGATATACAGAGCAGTATATCAAAATTAAAATAAATCTAATGAGTAACAAATTTCTTTTCCAATTTCTTTAAAAGTAACAAATTAAATTTCTTTTAAATGAGTTAAAATTGAATGGTTGTTTAAACAAAATAATACATCTGTTAGAAATCAGACAACCCTCTACTCCTTCAAAGCTGGATTAAATAGAAAAATGATAGTTTATATTTGGTTTGGGGTAAAGGTTTTATTTTAAGTCAGTGATGGATACAGATTTTTCAAATGGGGGGGGGGGTTTGTTTTTTTTTTCTTACTTCAATACATAACATTGATATGCACTAAAATTTAAAAATTTAGTATCAAAACAGGGGACACGTTTCCCCATGCCCCCTACTGGATCCGCACCTGTAATTTGTGAAAAATCAATCTTGGTAATTTTAAAATACTACACAATTATATATTGTTTTTAAAAATTATTATTTGCTTCACCTTTTCAGGAACTGAATGTGCTCTTTTTGCCTTTGCATTCCTGTTTTCATCATGATAACCTGGAAAACGCTTCTGTCAATTGCCCATATTTCAGCATCACTAACAGCTATAAAAAGAAAATCTTTGTTAAAACCTAAGCAGAGCAACCCTTACTTAAACCGCCATATTGACATGGGAATGAAGGGTGAAGGGGAAAAAGTTGAGTGAGGGGAAATTATAAGTTATTTTTAACTACTTTTGAGGCAGGAGGGGAAACAGGGGGAAATTCCCCTGGTTTTTCCACTGCCACCTTCCATGTTTTAACAGAAAAATACAAAATGGCATACAAATACTAAATGCTACAATATTTCTTAACAGCATTTACTGGGCATGAATCATACCATTTATTGGATATTTATTTATCTGTTTAATTTTATCACATCTACGATTATATGAAATATGTGCCATTCTTTTATAAGTATTTTGAATCCGCTGGTGGAGTCATAATAATACATAAACCATCCTTACCTTTGACGGTAGCTGTTCTTTTACAGTTATATAAAATTGCCAGCTCCCCAAACACCTTGCCTGCTCCCATTGTCCCCAAAACGTCATCATTTTGACTCACTTCAAGCTCACCAACTATCATGGATGATAAAAATAATAAAGATAATGATTATGATGATAATGATTAAAAAGAAGAAGATGATGATAATGATAATTAATATTAGAGTAGATGACGATTTTTGGTGGGATATCATATCATATCATTTATTTTGCCTTAACAATAAATACAAAACAAAAATACAAGTAGTAAATCTGTGACGCAATAGAATTGGCAGCTGCCTGTACCCAGTGGTGGCACCATGATTTGCCCAAAGGCGAATGTCCCCAATAGAAGCATAAGTAGGCGAGAGCAGGATGCCACCCAGAAATTGGAAAGGATATTAGCTTTAAATAAAATGGTAGATAACATGCCCTGTCTCTTATACACATCTATTAGGAAGCATCTTAACACCAAGCCGTAGGTTCACTCTGTGATGATATTCATGAACACATTAAATCAACGTTGTCCGTAGAATTTAATTAATGTCGCGTCTGAGATTACATATCTCCAATCATCTTGTTTATATCTATACTTGCCTATAAATTATTCAGGACATGTATAGATAGATTATTTTTCATCATCATCATTACCACTACAGGCCACTTACAAGATTGAATAAATTAATAATTATATGATGTAATACTATATATGTCAAGTCTGATCCCATCCCATATCTGTCTGTTGACTGAACAAAAAATTTTATAGATGTAATTATGTTTACTAATTATGTTTTCCCCTATAGTTTTAAAGAATCTATAATTGCATGCTACATTTACTGATATACAGAGCAGTATATCAAAATTAAAATAAATCTAATGAGTAACAAATTTCTTTTCCAATTTCTTTAAAAGTAACAAATTAAATTTCTTTTAAATGAGTTAAAATTGAATGGTTGTTTAAACAAAATAATACATCTGTTAGAAATCAGACAACCCTCTACTCCTTCAAAGCTGGATTAAATAGAAAAATGATAACATAATTCAATTGTACATAAATCAGTAATTTTAAATAATATTGCTTTTAATTCAATGTATTTTTATATTTTCGACTTGTATCTCTAATGTATTTTTGTAATTTTATTGTAATTCTGTTTTAATACCATTAGTCTCCAATTCAATTTTATATTGCTATTGACTTTTGCTTTGTGAATTTTTGTACCTGTTCTCCTTTTTGTGATTTGAATTTGAATAAATAAACCTGAATATATATAATATAAGGCTGAAACGAAATAATTGGCAGAACAAAAAGAATCGTGCCGCTGAGCCGTTTCAATGCGTTTTATTTGTTCTGTTCACTGTGTCGTTTACGTCAAGTCGTACTTAATTTTAAAATGTCCTATTATTCATTGAATAATAATTACATTTTATTGCACTTGTTGATGCAATACAATGCAATGTCTATGAATGAAATGGGATATGGGACCTCTAAAATCCTAAACAGGGCTTTGGTGATTAGAAAGCTGCAGCGCTCTCGATCCCTACTACTACAAAGTTCCTTATTGTAGTTGTGGGAAAAAGAGGTCTCTCTAGTGAGAATCTGCCATTTAACAGTATTTCGTTGATGAACTAGCCTATGTTTAAATTGTTTATATTCCCAGCGTTACACAGAACACGTATGACTTATAACTATATACAATAGGCCTTATGTACATTTTTCAAAGCATTCGAGAAAGAATACAGTCACTGTCAGTAACTTTTTGGTCGGTGCAGAGACAGGTAAAAATCTTGTGATGATTCCATAACTATGCTAGGCTAACGGCATATGCTGATTTTTGCTCCTGCAAAAACTATTATAAGTCAATCGTGACGTCATCACTGTAACTCCCAATCTTATTTGCCTATTCCCCAGCGTCCACTAATTTTTCTATTAGTGGACGTTTGGCTTGATTTTTTTTAGGTTCGTGTGCAAAAAAAATTCTTCATTCTTCAAAATTTAATTGTAATTGAACATTACTTTCGTAAAACAAGCTTATTTAGAACCCGAAGAAATTTACTTCAAATTCAATATTAAGTACGAACAATTAAGGAATTCATTGAATCAATGGACCCTCATAAACACAACAAATTGAACGTTTAATAGGAATAATTATTCTAGACCTATTTTAAAGACTCAAGGAACAAATTCAGATGTAGGCCTACGGCCAGAAGGCCGCCCGGGCCTACTTCTACTGTACTACTACTAGGCCGTAGCCTAGCCTAGTTATGAAATCATCGCACGAATTTACCTGTCTGCATGCGCCGACCAAAAAGACGTCAGTGACTGTATTCTCTCTCGAATGCTGAAATGTTTCTTTCTATCAAAATTACAAACAAGTTCTTTCTAACACAATAGTTATTCATCATATCTACTGCAGGGGTGGCGCCAGGACCTGGCCGACGGATGAGGCAAAAGGTGGGGCTAGTGGAGCGAATCGAGTCTCACTTGGCTGGGGGCCAGGGGGCCGCCCAGGGCCCCGCCCAGGGCCCCCGGTGGGGGTCCAGGGGACGACGCCCCCTGGAAGCCACGGGTATTAGATGAATTATGGCGAATTTTTATTACTTATTTGATAGGCATCGAGTTACTATAATATGACTTCATGTAGACTATGCTTTCTAATGTTGAAATCAGCTCCCAAAACCAAAACATTTTGAATAAAGCAAGAAACAAAGAGTATGCAATGTAACCATCTAATTTATTTTCAAATCCTCATTCTTGAAAGTGAAATTTTATATTTTGGAAATTTTGCATGAAATCTGTCAACCATGGCCTGTCATGGTCGAGGTTGCTTCACCTATCACGATGTATTCCAACCATCATGAGGCTATCTAAATGAGCATTTGTCATAACAGAACGCAAATTATTAATTAGTCTCATTGAATTATTATTATTATTATTATTATTATTATTATTATTATTATTATTATTATTATTGTTGTTGTTGTTGTGATGAAAAGTTAACACAAACAATAAGGTGGCTAAACGAATAATATTACCTGTAAATATTTTTTTTATTTGTTTGTTCCCCGACAACATTTATCGTCTTCCCCGGCGGTGGGGGGGGGGGCTATTTCCCCCAGCCCCCTCTGGCGCCACCACTGCGGCCAAATTGTAAATTGTAAAGGCTGGCAGCGGCACTCAAACACAGACCACTGACCGCTGACCAGATCTTGGTCAATTTGGGTTTCACGAACCATTTTGGAAATCAGTGGTTTGCATTGAATCGTTTAAACAAAACGCACATTACATAAATAAACCACGCAACCTCGGATATAAATTTATTACATCCTATATACAAAGTAAATTATAAGGTAAATAGTGTTGTAAAATAGAATTACAGTAGAGTATTTTGAAGATTCTTATGCAGACTACCGATGACGTGCAAACAATAGGCAAACTACATGGTTTCGTATTCTTATCCATTCAGATCTGAAAAAAATCCAAGTACTAAAGGTAAAACAAGTACAGACACGTTATACGTCGCTGACGAAATGATTATAAAATATCCGGGGAAAGTACTATTTTGTGCCGTTTGTGGGCCAATATTTTTTCTCTTATTTTCAATTGAAAAGCTCATAACCTAAGCCTACTACACAAAAAGTACGCAATTCAAACATTACTGCATGTAAAGGTAAACAAGATGTCAAATTGTACAACCATTATGTTTTTATAGTCGGTGGCTTTATTAGATATAAGTCTACATGACGTCTGGCTGATTCTTCTCTCAAATTTAATTCTGTAATCAGTCGGGACTAAAGCCGGATTCTAATTTACGCGTTATCAAGCTACGGAAGCAGTGAGTGGCCACGACATCGTGCACTAATAGATGTTAAACAAAATACGTAAGATCAACGTTGATGCGAAATTAGAACACATGTGCGCAAATTTACGCTGTTATTCAAAGCATGGACCTATATGGTCAAAGCAAACAAGCAAAACAAATGTCGGAAGCTTCGAGAGCCCTCACAAGACCAACGTTCTACACATTTAAGAAGAAATAGGCCTCTAGGCGACATCTAATTTTAGTTTATTGTATCACAGATCCTAATAGGATCTGTGATTGTATCAACAGGAAGCCATATTATATATTTTCAGGCTTCATTTTCATTTGTACTTTTGCTGTTGCATCATAGAGAAAAATCGATTTCTATGTCAGGGACGGATTTGTGGAGGGGGCGGGCCGACCCCGGATTTTGGAAAGTCAAAAAAAAAAAAAAAAAAAAAATAGAAAGAAAGAAAGAAAGAAAAGAAAAAAATTGATCGCCTCCGATGTTATTTTCGGGCGTCAACAAAAATTTCACAGGGGCATGCCAAGGAACCCCTATGGGGTGCTATCTCGATCGGCCCCACTTTCGGACATCTCAGGATCCGCCCCTGTATGTCTCTGACAAACAATAATAACGTAGGCCATCTATACCGGTAGGTAGATCTGTACCATGAAGACTCCTTCAATCACCAAGGAAACACACGTTTGTTCATTTTAAAATACGTGTACCGTTCCTTCTTGGAAAATAAGATAATTTGTATTTGTATTTTTAAAAAGTGTATCAAAACTTAATTGATTATGCCTATCTGTAAAACGAATATACTTCGTTCTGGTTGCTTCAATTAGTATTATTTAACAAGATGTTATTCATTTATATCATTACAGAACTCGAATTAAATACCATCTCTTCGGATTTAATTATATTTATTAATAATTTTGTGCAACACAAATCAAAAACACATGTAAGCGCTAGCCCAGCTTTTTTTTTTATTCCATTCTAAACGCATTTGGGATCTACTACTAAAATGATTTCGTACCCCAAATTCTTGTTTATATTTTCCATTCATTTCAATTACCTGACGCTGCATTCAATATTTCTCATCTTCACCATTTCTCTCTAAGGCATCTTGTTTCAAATTAAAACTAGTTATCTTTTTTTTTAGTCCGCCAAGGTTTGAGTTGGTTTTTTTAAAACTTCCGCTTCGATAAACACAATAATTCACAAAATGTGATGTAAGACTAATCACTATAGATTATGTAGCGTCATCAAATGTTGAATCGACTGCTATGAAAATTCTCAAATCCGTAAAATCGAATGCGAGCATAATTTTTCAATCTCATTTGTTGTTAACATTTTTGATTTTCTGAGACCTTTTTAAAATGAATCGTGTATGCCTGTATATTGTACCATACAATTTGTCTCAGCGTTTTGTATTCTCTATATCCTGTATTTTGATACAGGCCTACTGACTTCACAATTTGGAGTTGAGGTAAAAAAAAAAGAGTAAATATATTGGACAAGCAATTTATATCCGGGCATAGCCATTATTATACTACTGGTCCCCGAAGCTGTATGTGGATTACTGGAAATACGTTTAATACGGTCATTACACTCATCATGGAGTTATACTCATCATGTTCACCATTGTCTAATTTAAGACGAGCGCTGTTTATATACCAATGACAACATTTCGATGAATTAATCAGTAGAATCAGTAAGAGCGAACATATCTACTGATGCTCGCAGACTTCTCACTTGCGCCAGTGTGATTCCTCAATAGACAATAGGCTGCAGTACGCGATTATTACTAGGCCTATTATAATAGTAAAATAATGTAATGTAAGTCTAATCAGAGCTACGTGCTATATTAATTCATGATATGAAATCCTGTAGCGATGAAACAACCAAGTAATTGTAAATCAGGTTTCGGTTAGCTCTCGTGGTTATATACAAATATGGCTATATTAAAAGCATTTCACTTAAAAACATATTAATAATAAGTGATCAGTATTAATGATAAGTAGATCATAAATATAAAAACAGTTGCGTGAAATACATGAAAATACTTTTATTTTTATGTTAGGCCTATTTTAACTTTTTAATTTGAAATTTTATGTATCTTATAAGTCTTTTATTATGTATTATTTTATTATTTTATTATTTTCCTCCATACTATATTGCAACTTTCATTTTATCCCTGCTTTACACTTATAAGGCCTATAATTATATATATATATACATATATATATATATATGTATATATATATATATACTTATAGGCCATATATATAGGCCTATATTTACATTTATATGTATATATATATATATATATATAGATTAAAAGGCAAAATACTGAAAAACAACAATGCTGTGGGAAGCTGGATCTCGGTAGAGATACAAAAATGATAAGCAACAGCTAAAAAGTAAACGTAAGTAAACAGCCAGAAATAGAACCAGAGCTTTCGGACAACACTAGTCCTTCCTCAGTGGCGAGTGAGTGAGGGTTGAAAAAGCCAGACAGTATAAAGTGAGAATTTCATGCAGGCATGATTAGAAACAATAGGCTAGGTGGGATCAGAATAAACAGCCTAAACAAGTAAACAGGAAGGCCAAAACTAAACTTTAGAGGCGTGCCTCAATAAATAA